TAAGGATGTTTGCATAAATTCAGGCATGCTTCCCAGAAGGGATGATAGAGAGTACTTCCTTGCCTTCGTTTTCTAGGAGATACTCGGGATGTTACTCAGGTTCAGTAATGCTGCCTTCCAGATATTAAATTCACATACAACCCCACGGCTTCAGTCTATCGCTCATTTTTATAAACAAGCACATATTATTAGGTGGTGCGGCTTTTTCGCTGGTTCACAGGTTTCTGTGGGCAACGAGTCTTTTTATTTCCGGTGCATCCTTTCCCAGTTGGTTTATATTGTTGATATTATACACGAAACACTTCTTGTGGAAAGTTATCCTAGGGATCAAATAAAACTCATCAACTCTATATGACACGTACATTTGTGCGTTGTATATGAACAAAGTGTTTACACATACAATTTAAACGCATATATGTTTTCCAGGAGAAGAGTTAACATTACATATATATGTTGGACATTTTTATAAGGGATTAAGATATGCAAAAAATAAATATACATTTTACTTTGGCGAGTGATAGAGAAAAAGAAACGGGGACGATCGCCAGTCGGAATCAGGCACGTTGCGGTGTGTCAATTAATTGAAATCTGCGTTCTTGGCCTATCCGTCGGGTTTGACAGGCTCCCGAGGATTCGGTCAGTCGGGTGAATCTAACGTACCGTGAAATGAAACAAAAAGTGGTCTAGAGACAATGTTAACATTCAATGGTCCGTCTCAGGGAAATTGATTGGTCCAATCCCTGCCAGCGCGACCCACCCCTCTGTCCTTTTTTGTGTAGGCGAGAAAATGTTTTTTGCCCCTAGATAAAAGAGATTTATGAGGAATTCCATTTTGGCTTAATGCTTCTGCCATTTTGGCCTTCGTACTGAATTTGCTTTCGTGACTTAAAGTTTCGTTTCGAGGCCACAATTGTACTCTTACGGCGTCTGTCTGCTTTGCTGCCTCTACTTGAGCAAGGTACGCCTCCTACGAAGTCTTTATCGGGAAGAACGGTATAGAAGACGAAAAAGCGATCACTGGAACAAGAGTTTTATTGCCCTGGCGCATGTCTTAGACTTGTCTACGATTACCTATGACTAAGGATTCCCGACGGAATCCGAAACGTCAGGACAA